ATGTCAAATGTCATTGTTCAATTGTAGAGATTACTTTCTCAGGAGGTTTTGCTGTTGGATGTAAGCATTTATGGAACATTACTGTGAATCCAGTAGAGTTAGCTCTTATTTACACTGTATTGTTATGAAAATGCACTTTTGTGTTGACCGCTGAAGTACTGAGTCAAGGCAGGAACATGGAGACATGCTTAAATAGATCACTGTTGCTCTTCTCTGTACTCATCGACTGGTTAAGGCAAAACTTTAAATGTTGTAAATGGTCATTTTGTATCATATACACAAATGTCTCAAAAACTTTTCCTGGTGCATAGGTGCTGTTTTTTTAAATCAAACAATTTTATAGATCAACAACAAATTCAAACTACAAACTGCTCCATAAAGATTGTTTTCTTTCTATGCACTCTAAACTTTGTTTACTGTAAATGTTTCTACCCCAGCACTCGTGATATATTTTGGGAGACTGTAAATGAATGTCACTAATATGTTTATATACATTTCAATAAACTTTTTCCAAGTATATGGCTATTATATTCATGTTTTTTTCTTCCCTGCTGCTGAGGTTTCATATTCACGTTGCAAAACCACTGTACTCAGAAGAATGAAGTATTGAAGTACAACCAAAACACACTCCAGACGCCAAGTGTGCCAAAGTACCATCCTGATGTAAGGCTTTCCTTCTACTCATGATAAGACAACTTTTGCATAGTTGTTCGCAGACCTTTATTTGCTTCGTAAGTAAGTGAGTTGTATCTATCTATACAGCGCATTTCACAGGTCACACAAAGTGCTGTACAAGTTTGGCATAGGCCTTCACCGGTCATTTAGATTCACTCCACACACAGCATTGAGGCGCCTAACACTGGAGCATTGAAGCTACCAACCATCTCATCCGTTCACTCACTCATTACATTCATACATGTTTTTAGAAATAGGCGAAGCCGATGCCCCCGGAGGAAACCTACGCAGAGACAAGGAGAACATGCAAACTCCAGTCAGACAGGCCCTGTCTGGAGGCAGAATTCAACCCTCTTGCTGTTTGTTGGTTAGTTTCTATTTAGATGCCCATTGAAACATACAGTAGCTATTCTTCCTGGGGTCTATGTATTTAACAATGTCACGTTGACATGAAAATGGACAAATATGGATGTACAAACAAGTACAGCAGTAGTACAACCACTGGCCACCAGCCCCACTGTGCAGCCCATTAGCAGTATTTAGTCTTGTAGTACTTGTTTTAATAAAAGCATATATTTTTCTGCTGTCTTAACCCTGTCTCCAAATCTATCTTGGCTACTGCACTATAATGCTACATTATTCAACACAGTTCCTACTGCTGTCAGATATCCATATAGAACACTGCATTCTGCCTGAATGGGCGTTATGTCAAAGGTGTGAACTGGAATCTGAGTTGAACAAAAGCCCACGTAACCTTCACTGACACTGAAAAAGCAACTCATGAGGCTGGTTCTCATTGGCTGTCAGTTTTTGTTTCTTTTTAGTTTCCTCATAGTCATGTTTTCAAACCACCAATGCTGTTGGATATCCACGCCTACTTCAGCTGTAGATTCTGGTTCCCAGGCTGGACCCAGGCTCAGCCATCATTGGCCACACATCGACCTCAGTCCTCTAAACTACAAAGACTTTTATGACTGCAAGAACCCCATCAGAGAGACGTTTGGAGCAGTGACCAGTGAGGAGCTCAGGTAGGCCTATGATGATCTTCTTACTGATTTCTACAATTCTGACTAAGCTACAGGGAGGAGGGAGGGGGGTGAGCTGACTATGAACTCTTTCATCAGATAAAAAGTTGAGAAAGAAACTTGACATGTATAACAAATGTTTTGAAAGCCACATGATAATGTATTGATAAAGATTACAAGGCTGGATTATCCAAAAGTTTTTATAGAAAATGTATCCAATCATTATCTTCCGCTTTATCCATTTCTGTGTTGCTGGGGAGTAGTCTAAGCAGAAAAGTCCATACAATTTTACCTTAAATAATTTGTAATAACAATACTTTCTCAACACCCAAGTATAATCACAATAATCAAATAAAATAATAATCATACTATTAACAACACATTCTACATGAATTCCCCTCACCGTCTTAAATTAAATTTATGAATTTGTAGATATTTCAGGAGGATTACCTATATTGGTTGTGGCATTGAGCCGATAAAATGAAAAAAAGCTAAAAGAACTTACCTAAAATATGTATTTATATACAAACCTATGTTCTACATTCGTGTATGCATTTGAGCATTATAAAAATAAACATGTATGCTTTGATTGCAAAATTAAGACCAGTTACATGGACATGGAACCAGATATTACATCCATGATCTTGGAACCGCATGGAACGCAGCAGAGTTTGTTTTGGGAGTATGTGAATGAATGACCCTTCTTGGTTTTCACCAATCACCGAGGGAAGAGACCACGTGGTTGGTCCGTGGTTTTGAAACCGGCAAAGCAGCTGCGCATGCGCCGTGCAGCTCCATGTCAAGCGCAAACTAAACACGGAAGTGTAGTGGGGGTGGGCTGCAGCATGGCTTTAGTCAATGACAAGAACAAGATGGATAAATAAACACGCACATGTGACTGAGGTCATCTTCAGCTCCATCATGTTTGTAATGATAGCATTCTGATGATTCTGGATTGATTAGGTAAGATTCTTTTATGATTCTATGATGAAACACAACAGATTTTAGGCAGTAATAGGTCACTTGACCTCTAAAGTGACAATTCTATGTTTATTCTTAATTTTTTTCCTACTGAATTTAACCATTTTTGTTGAGTTTTGCTGTATTTAATCAGTAGTTAATCTGTTATTACATCATTGTATACAATAACTGTAATGACATGGTTCTTGTGATGTCAGTGCCATCACCAGAACCATGTCTTAGAAACATGTTTATTATTTTAGCTGTTTGAAAAACATCCAAACGGCTATGTCGTAGTTACACGTTGTAAAATATGTGTCATGCCTGTAATGTGATTCTTTCCTTGGATCAGTGTGTCACTGTGTGAAAGGTTATGTCTGCCTTACCTAAGGTTATTGCCTTTATTTAGATCTATCTATCTGCTTTAAATACTAACTCACACTTTATGTTCTGTGTTGTAGACTATCTTCAGAATTGTCTCCAATATGTCGCTGCTGACTCACGTGCTGGCCTGCCTCTTTGGGATGGGATCATGGGTAGCCATCAATGGTCTGTGGGTGGAGCTTCCTCTGGTTGTCCCGGAGATCCCAGAGGGTTGGTATCTGCCGTCCTACCTGACTGTCCTCATCCAGATGGCAAACATCGGCCCTCTATTCATCACCCTCATGCACCGCTTTCGCCCTGGGACCATAGACGAACGGCCCGTCGTCTACATCATTGTTGTGTTGGGTGTTATTGCTACATTCCTTCTGGCGTTCTTTTGGAAACACACAGTGACAATTGCTGGATCCTTACACAGTGTCCCTCTGTTGGTGTTGATCTTTCTTCTTTCTGTAGTTGATTGTACCTCCTCCGTCACCTTCCTGCCCTTCATGATGCGTTTACACCCACAATACCTCACCACATACTTCGCAGGAGAAGGCCTCAGCGGTCTTGTGCCTGCTTTGGTGGCTCTGATCCAAGGTGTTGGCGTGGTTCACTGTGAGAATGTCACCCTCTCTGCAAACACAACAGCCATTAATTCAACTACTGTAGGGACTGGAGAGCTGCAGGCCAGCTACCAGCCAGCTACATTCTCAGCCCAAATCTTCTTTATTTTTCTCAGTATGATGATGGTAGTGTGCCTTGTAGCTTTCATCCTCCTTAACTGTCATCCTGCTGTGTCCCGGGAAAGACAAAATCATATTTACTTTGACACTGATCTGGAACAGGAAAAAAGAGAAGGTTTGTCACTGCAATCTCAATCTCCAGAACAAAAACCGATGCTGAGCCCCCAGGAAATGCCCCAGTGGCAGCCCCGCAGCTTGTTTGGCAGGGGCACCTATAGTAACTTTGAGGTGGTGTTTATCTTTGTTCTACTTGCCTGGGTCAATGCTTTGACCAATGCAGTGCTGCCCTCAGTTCAGTCCTACTCGTGCCTGCCTTATGGGAACCAAACATACCATCTGGCCGCCACCATGGCAGCTGTTGCTAATCCTGTGGCCTGCTTCATCGCCATGTTTCTACCCAAGAGGTGAAACCTTTCTCCTTTCATTTTTTATTTTTTATCCTGCACAACCATGAACCTTGTTACATGAAATGTCTTCTTATTTTTCAGGTCTCTTGTTTTAATGGGCGTCTTCACCTTGTTTGGGACTGGGTTTGGTGCCTACATCATGGCAATGGCAGCACTGAGTCCATGTCCTTGGCTGGTTTACAGCACAAATGGAGGTGTTCTCATAGTAAGGCTTTACATTTTCTATTCACTGCTTGTTTTGAGAAAATCACATGAATGTAACTTCCTCTGGCTTTCTGTTTTTCTAGGTTTTGGCATGGATCCTGTTTGTCTTGACGTTATCATATGTGAAGGTCATAATTGGAGTAATACTCAGAGATGAAGGGCACAGCGCCCTTGTGTGGTGTGGAGCGGTAGTGCAGCTCGGATCAATGGTCGGGGCTATTTCAATGTTTCCAGTGGTTAGTCTTTATGGACTTTTTAAATCTGGCGATGCATGCAACACTAAGTGTCTAGTGTAAACATATTTACATGCCTTATTTACTTGATAATGATATCCCTGTGAACTTGAATTGAAAGAGCAATTTTTAGTGTTATTTATTTTGCACATGCTTTAGAGAGAGATTGTTACAGACATTTTATCAGATGGCCTTCTGAAAAAGATCTCATGGCATTGACAGGGAGTGTAATTCCACAGATAGACCTCTGCATCATACACAGGTCAGGGCTGAGCGATTGGGCAAATACATTTAAATCTTTATTCCCCTTGGATGATTAAATTTTGCAAATAGATTTTAATTAAAGTAACCAAAAACACTGTTTAATGACAGCTCAAATTTCTTGAAATTATCAAAACTTTTATTTTTAAAACGTTTGATAAATTGAATTGATTAATTGCCTAGATAATTAATCATTTTGCTGTGTGCCAAGATAAAAATCAATTTGCATTGGTCTTTTAAGTAGATTTCGCCCTGTCCCAGTGTCGGGGATGGTCTCGTGGTATCCATGTGTTTAACCTTTTTTGTGGAGTTGCTGTGACCCCTCATGTGTGAACAATTTGTTACAAATACAGCATTCAGCCTTGATTGTGTAGACTTTGCACTGCCTTAAATGTGCAGAAAATTAGAAACTAATTTGTTTACAGTATTTGTTAAATACACATAATACTGTTCTGGTGGCTTAACATTTATTTGTTGATAAGAATAAAGATTGAGGAAAAGGGTGAAACAATTTCTCAAAACTCTGCATCCTTTAAACCACTAGATGTCACTCTTGTACCACGTTTGACTTGCATTGCTTCTCATGGGCTTGTTTGGGGTTGCCTTTTTAGAGTTGGAGTGAGAGATCTGAACATGGTTCTAAAAGTATTATAACAATTGAAATATCTTTAATGGCCTGATTCCTGATCATGTTATTAAAGTAATATACGACGGAGAGTAACCTGAAGTGATGCATTTCTCTAGGGTACATTTTTCAGGCAATAAATCAGAAGCATCTTGTCCTAAAAAATGTTTGCTCTTCAGCCTTTGTCAACTGGACAAGAAGCAAATGGACAGTCATGGTTGGTCATGTCTGATTCAGATCCCTGGTGGTCCCTCACAACGTCTGGGGTCATCATTCCTCATGACTCACCCCCACCCCTTATCTCACTTGTGTCTTTCCCACATATGGTCCTTCTGACCAGATCAGACCAACCAGCTCACAATTACCAAACGTAAACTTTAACCAGTGTGGTACTAGTAGTGATACACCCTGAACCTACATCAAACCTTGAGAGAGCACTCTCACTTCTCAGTAAGAAGGTCCTGAGTTCAAATCCCGGTTGGAATAGGTCCTTTCTGAGTGGAGTTTGCTTGTTGTCTTCGTGTCTGCATAGTTTTCCTTCAGGTGCTCCGGTTTCTCCTACCACTAAAAATATACACATTAGGACAATCTCCAGCTCCTGTCCTGACCAAGTATCAACATCTGTACTACGGCGATCACTGCTCCTGACGGAAGCCTTAGTGGCATCAGGATGGGTCAAATGCAGAGGACCTTAAAGTGACATTCACAATTCACATTTTATATAAGTTGCAAAACATTCTTTGATTCAAAACAGTAATGACACAAGCAAAGCCCAATGAAGATCATACACCTTCGTCTGTCCTATACCTTTTACTATTTTCATTCCAAGATCAATGTCTTCTAAAAATCACACACGCGGCAGACATTGTGACTATAATTTCAATTTAAAACACATGAGGAGGGATATCCTAGCCTTGGCTCTTCTTTAATGGGCCGTCGTGGGATTGCAGAATGCAGAGAATGATTGAATTTGCATGAAGGCCAGGAACTCGTGTGTTATGCAATCGACCATTCCCCACTCACAACGCCACGTCTGGTAAAACCTCAGGCAGGAGGAAGGAGAAACGGGACTGGAAACCTTGACGGCTCGAACCAGAGAGACAAATATTTTTTCTGCTAAATGACTCAAGACTATATAAAAGTAAAACTCTGAGATGGAGATAAAAAGACTTAAGATGTGAGCAGCCACATCAAACTGAAGGTTTTGACACAGGCTGCTTTTAATGGTGCTAAATGAGACTTTTTACACTGTAATGCATGACATCCTATATTTCCTGAAACATATGGAGCCCATACAAAACTGCCATATTGGTTTATTTATAAGATTGTGTCATGTCTGTGTTAGTCTTTTGAGTCTTACCACCTGTGCCGGCAAACGCTTTTGGACTGAGGGAAGCACTATTTGGGCAGAAGGCTTTAGTAATATGAAAAACAGTGCTTTATGCGTTACTGCACTGTTGATCTAAACTTTTTAGGCCTAATGCCAGTTGACAATAGACTAAACAGAGCTGTCCGCATTTGCCCACCACTAACATACAATCCAACTAGAATATTCATATCAAGTCGAGTGAAGCCATTGTAATAATAGTTCATCTGCAATTATTTTATATAGTGTTTTTCATGACACTCAATCAAGCTTCTACTGTCGTCACAGATGCCCTGGGGCAGATTGACAGAAACAAGGCACACACATATGCCTAAAGTGACACAAAGACGACTGTAGCTTCCCGACTGTGGCACATGGTGTTCTCAGAGGTATCCCATCACAGTACTGACCAGACTCTGTTCTGCTTAGCTTCTGACTAAGGTTGGCCAGGATCAAGCTTTCACATGCAGGTGGCTATATTCTTTTACATTCCTGCAAGAATATATCTGATAATCTAATGGGCAAGCTTGTGTTTTTTGCCTTTCAGCCGCCTGTATGTCATAATGTGATAACTTACACACATTTGTTAGCAGTTTAGTCCTTGCTTTAGCACACGCTTGTATTGCTTTAAAGAAACTTTGATTTCACACCTACTTCTGGATTTCTCCTCGGTGATCCACAACTTTCAGTGCAACTACATCCTTCCCGTTAGGTCCATTACATTCCTATGGACCCTTTTCTCTACGGCCAACTTCAAACTAAGACATAAAGTAATCAAAAGTTAAGAGCAAACACTCAAGGAGGCACTTAGCTCAAAGAAAAGCTTTTATGATAAAACATTCATATACAAGACAGGAGACAGGTAATCTTTGAGGACGATAGGGTTGTCTTGTGGTCAGTTTCAGTGTACAATGTCTTGGGGAGCAAGAATGAAGGCTGCTAATGACCTCCCCACCCGCTCATCATACACAAAACAGTCCATGCACAACAACTCGAACCTGAGAGGAACTTTAGTGGTGAGAAGTGGTGTGAATTGTGCCTCAAAGAGCTGTTGGAAGCTGCAGTAAAGCACACTTACTTGACTGGCAGATGATAATGGAGACCAATAATGTGCATGAATATATTTATGGTAGAGCAAGTTTGGTAGTCCTGCTTTGAATACAAACACACAAACTGTAAAAACTGACAGGGCTTAAATTCTAAAGTTTTGGGTCAGGGGCCTGTGGTTTTAGTATCTTGTATTATATGATGTACATGTTAGCAGTTACTGTGTGGACTTAAAATCTTCAGATCAGCTCGAGCCTTCACAAAATATTTTTCACATCAGTTCAGTTCAGTTTATTTTATTACAAATACAAAATAAAAACATGTAACATTCATTTCATAATTAGTGACATTGCATATTTGTAAATGGGACCCTCTTGAAGCAACGTTTAGCTTATATATGGGCCCGAGACATTATCACATCCATTGTCTATTGAAACGTTGCAGTGAATAATAGTAAGTTGTTGCTCCTAAAAAGACTAATAAGTAAATAAGTGTGATGTAACATTTGTCATCTTTTGTACTTACATTTAAAGGGGACATAACCCTTTTCAAACTGTATTTCTTGATTGATTTGATTTGCATCGATTTCAAACCTGCTCTCCACTCAGCCACCTATGTCCCCCTGCGGTGAAGTTGGTGGTCTTCTCATGGCTTTGGGGCAACAGCTGCTTATCAGGTAGGTGTGACTATACAAAGTGCTAATTACAAAGATTATAAATTGTAATCCTAACCCTTAAATAGATTTTTGTATTTCAAGTTTAACTACAAGATACAGCTGAGTGTGTCATTAAAAATTCAACAACATACCATTAAACAGTGCACTGTCATATTCAAAAACAAAACAGGAAAAGGTCCAAACCTCATGGCTCCATGTCGGGAAGTGGCGTGCTCAGGTCGAGTGTGGGGTCAGTGGCAGGTCGCGCAGGGCGTCCATTAGTGGCCTTATTTAGACTTATTTCTTTAAGCGGAGTGATTGGCCGCAAAGACAGAGAATCATTACCTCTGCCCGCCCCCTCTCTGCCAGCAGTCAATAATGAGGGATCATTAAAATGAATAGATGGACATTCCCCTTTTCTCCGGATCCTTATTGCAAAATCAGTGTCAGGGGAAATGAAGATTGAGGTTGCAGAAGGCGTCTAAAAGCCTAACCGTGATTGTCGTCAACTCATCTCCAATGCCAGGCTCCTTTATCTACTGTAAGAGTGTGCACCTGCCTGAACTCTGCTCCGACAACAGCTTTTAGGGCGGCCCATTAGAGGCTCCCTAATGTGCGCTCCAATGTACTTCAACATAAACACGGTGTACATGTACTAAAACATTTACAGCAAACAAGACCAGGATTGCTGGATGTCTCGGCTTTCAGCGAAGGAAAAGGAGATTGAAAGAAATCGGTGAGCTGGTAAATGATAACTCTTTTTCAAATCTAAACGTGTGTGAAACTGCAGATGTTGTCTTAGATGTTGTTAAACTTACTGATTGCTTGATGTGATAAGTTTCTGGAGTGCCTCGCATATTTTAGTTTTATTAATACATTTTGTTCGTCCCAACTGGAAGGGTCTTGTTTAAGCATTTTGAGAACATATCAGACCACAACATGCTGTCGTTATTTTATTAGAAAACCATTTGTCTTCTACATACTGAGAGGTGATCGGCTTCGTGAGGGTGTTCTTTTTCTGTCTGAAAAATATGATCTAAAGATGTGACAGAGGCCAAAAAAGTACATGCATCTGGAAATTAGTGATTAGAAGCATAGTTTTGAGAGCCAGTGCAATTTTAATAGTTATTTGTAGTTATTTCTATGTTACTCCAGTACTTCACACTGAAAAAATAACTCCTTAAATCTTAATTTGAGGACAATTTTACTGTAAACAATATTTTACAATGGGAAAAGGCATTTAATCTTATTTCAAGAACTGGTGGGTTTTTTTTTTTGTTCCAAGGGTGACATTTCTTGTATCTTTTTAAAACTAGATACATTTGCTTGTCCCATTGGCAAATCTTGTTTTAATGCAGTCAAAATGTGCTCAAATTAAGACACATTTGCCAAATTTGAGCAATTTTTGATGTATTTGTCATCACTGTTGGTTGTGCAGCTCTAAGTGGTATTATTACATTAAAATCAAAAGCAAGGTATCCAAGTTGAAACTTTGAAGTGAGAGCAAACTATAAACTGTTGCTTTAAAGTGCAATCTTCTATTGTCTTTTCTTTAACTTCAGCTCAAACATCTGCCGTGATGCTAAATTGTTTAAATACACATTTAAATACAAAATTTCACGCAAAAGAAACGAGCTATCTCAGACTGAATGACTGCAGATGGAGAATAAAAAGAGCGGCACAGTTTTCCAGACCCCATCTGTTGGCGTTTGTGGTGTGACTCTTAAAATGTCTTTTAAAACACTGATTTGTTTGAGGGCCTTCTCCGTTGTGACTTGGGTCATCCCTTCTGGCCTGTCCCATGTGAAAATGGCCCATGAAAAGGCTGCTCATGCACCTGTAGACTCAGACTGCCCCGCCCAAAACAGATTCAAACAACACATGTAAACGGATGGTAAAGTTTACACATGTGGGAGTCATTGTGCTATTTTATCGCGTCAAACTCCTGATAAGGCTGTTTATGTCCTCCTGACATATGCTATTGAATACCCTAGTCCCGAGTGGCACGTAAGAGCCAATGGAGCACACTTATGGGACCCGACTATCAAAAGGTCTGCCTGTATGGTCAAGTAATTATCTTTTAAAGAATCTTAAAGCATGGTTCTCTTAACATGCCCTTCATAACACATGGATACTGGGAATTTACTGCATGCAGATGGACGGAGAGGTGGTAGGAGCGAAACTGTTTGGCCTGAGAGATCACTTTGTGAAGGGGCAACTTTAAGTGTGCAGCAGGAATACAAGAAGAAAAGATGTGGGGCTGTAAAGTCTCTGTAAAGATGCATAATGAAAGCTCTAAGTCATGACCTCTGCAGGTGTAGGGCGCAGGTGGACTCTGGGGCCTATGGCACGTGCACATAATCATGCAAAACCACAAGGTTTATAGATGGGAACTTTCACCTAAAGTCAGGTGTCAGTATCTCAAATGCATGATGGTGATCAATTCTAATCCTAATCCATCATGATAAACACTGTCATTCACAGTTGGTGCGCCTGTGTTCCTATGACAGTTCAGGTTAAGATGTTTTATACTCTAAATTCACTGAAATCAAACCCTCAACCTTCTGTGCTCTGAGGCCAAAGCACCACTCTGCTGCCTAGTAGCAGTAACATTATTATCATTAATATGTTTTTATTTTATTTTTTAAACTAAGACAAAGATGCTTTATAATGGCATACTTTTAATTCACTACAAACACAATGGTGTGCTAAGTGTAGCCGCAACTGCCCTGACTGAAGTGGGGCTGCTGTACACATGCTACCTGACCTTCAAAGCCCTCCTCCCATTCTTCCACAATTTAAATTAGGGGAATATGTGTGAAGTGTTGATTCAACGGACAATACAGAGAGCCTCAGTCCCACTGTGGCACCTGGGATTCCAATGGTCTCCCATCCAAGAACTAGCCAGGCCCGCTCTGCTGAAATCTGATGAGATTCATGAATGGCCAGAAACTACATTACATTCTTCCATGCATCTTTCTCTCTTTAGGTCAAGTGTCTTGCTCTTCATGAGCTTCCATGTGCCTCTCCACAGTTGATACTCAACAAACATATTTGAAACTGTACATTTTCTTTTCCCAAATAAAGGTCTCTAGTCTTTCGTCTTCACTGATTGTATGTTGTGTGTCTTTTGTGAGAGAAGGAGTGTTCCTGCTCTAACGGTGTATTGGAAAGCACGGCCTGCGATCCTCCCTCACTGTGTCAAAGGGTACGGCACATTCAGATGAAGCTCAAGTAAGTGCCAGGAAAAAGGGGCGTGTCTTCATTTGTAAATATAGTGGCTCTATTTTGGTCGTCGGGGGGTGCACGGCCTGGGCCTGCCTTCTGTCTGTGTCATGGGTGGAGCTGAACTCTCATGGAAAAGTAGGCGTGCAGGACGGCAGGTGGTTCACAGGAGCGAGGCTCTGCTCCCAGGGCGAAGACTAAATCAGACATAACTACCTCCACAATCATGGAAAACACAGGCCGTGGCTTGTATCTGCAACCAATGCATTTTTGTTCAACTACAATCATAGACTCTCACTCATACAATAGTTCTTCCATAACAAACTTGCAAGTATTAGCTTCCATCTGAAACAATTCAGGTTTAATATTGGGTGTATTTGCTGACGGTCATAATTGTGTAATTTATCATAATAATTGAATTATTCTGAAATGTAAAAACACATCTAACAGCCGTAATTTGATAAACTCCATAGCATTAGAAACAGCAAATTAAGTACACACACAAAGTTATAATTATGCCATTTATTTATTTGAACATGGATAACACATAAATGCACTTTAAACACATTTGATATATATTTATATAAATATGTCAGAGAAATATCTTGTGCCTACACAAGAAAGCGTCGTGAAGGTGACCAGTTGGTAGCCAAGAGAGTAAGGCACAAATATAGAAAACATGACATTTTTGTTTATTAACACATGCTAATCTCCAACCTGTCTAAATGTATCTGGAAATGATTTGTCCAAAATGTGAAAATGGGAAATGGCTGCTCAATCATCTCAACATGATGTGCATGCAAGGATCAATTTGAAAAAGTCTTCAACATTTGGTTTGCTGTATATATTGACAGTAAAGTGCATTCTGTTGCTTTCCTATTGGGCGAACCTCAATGCTATAGTTGCTTTGACAATCATCTCACCAAATACAAAATCATTTGGTTAGTTCCGATCACTTATTGCCTCCCATTTGTAACAGTCTGGCCACCTCCTACAGTCAAAGTGTACAGTCAGTGTGCCTATTTACACGCAGTGATAAAGCAACATGTACAAAAGTCTTTTAACGCTTAAGTAACACAGGGAGAGGATAATGAAGCAAGACAATATAACGAAAATAAAAAAGGGCTTGGCCAGCGTCTATGCTCTACTCTAAGTATACGTACATCATCAACATGTAGACCAGGGGTGCCCAAACCTTTCAGTAAGAGGGCCACATTAGTTCATCAGACTAGTCCAGGGGCCGACGTCACTGACTGAAAAATTGTCTTGACTGGCATCGGGCTGTTGTGAGATTTATGATGATCTATAACAGAGCTGAAGTTGGCTGAATGACACATGTTTACCATCTCACCAGCTACATTAGCAACATTATCATAAGTTTCTGACACATTCAAAAAACATGTCAGTACTGTATGTGCATATGAAGTCAACAACGTACTGGGCTTTAGAACAAGGTCTATATTGGCTGAGCTGAAGTTGGATGGATGACACAGTGAACTTGTGTTTATGATCTCAGAGACTACTTTGGGTTAGCAAGGCAGAGGGCCACATAAAATGACACTGAGGGCCGCAATTGGCACTGAGTTTGGACATGCCTGATGTAGACTATTCATTGCTTTAATATAAATCCCATCCAAGACTTTTGCACATTGTTTTTGTATATTTATACCTGCAAAGTTAGAATTCAGCAGGGAAGCATACAATTATAAACGCTATTTTTGGGGCAGAAAGATACAAAATGGAAATACCTGCCTCAATATCTGTGCTTTATGCTAATTTTGATTGTCTGAGCATGACTTGGTCTCATTGGGATTTAAAAACTGGAAGACGGGGGCAGTTCATATGAGGCACTAAGGTAAGAGCGTCTGATAGAAACGCTATAGATAGAGAAAAATAATAAAAAATAAGATGGCATGATACAACCTGAAGGTATACATATTATCAATACATGTACAAAATAATATACAAGGGTAATATGTTAAGCAAATAAAATACGCGGCTAGTCTATTCACATAGTCCCATATTGTCCAACTCGAGCTTCCTTGAAAAAATCATTGAAAGTTGTACAAAAACAAGTATGACAATTCTAATTTGGTTTACAATGGACACATAAATACATGAATGCTGTTAATATTACTGCAGTAAGGCACCAGTTCGCACACATACATAGACTGTCCATGCAATATTTTACATATAGTATTGAGATTGTCTTTTGTAAGCTGTTTGGTCCACTAAACAATTTGTGTTAGCTCTTTAAGGCCAGCCCCGGTGCCTGAAAACGGTCGCCTTCATGGTGGTTTGTGGATCTTGCCAACGATTGTCACTGTGCAGTTTGGAGGAGTCAAAAAGCAGTCAGAGATCCCGGTCAATAATCCAAATTCTTCATAGTCTGGATCTCATTGTTTTCGATGGAGTTATCTTGTTTGTGGGAGCTGGGTCCAGGATGTCTATGCATGAGTGTGCACGGAAATGCTGGAGAGGTCGTTTCTGATGATTTCATTAACTGTGGAAAAACACACACACAAAGGGAGATCGTTAGTCAACATTATACCGAATACTGCGGTTCATTGAAAAAGATTGGACTCCGAGGGTATTTCAATCGGTCGGAGAGGACGTTTGTCTGGTCGTGCGCTAAAACAGTGATACAAATGAGAAATGTCTCCACAAATGTTGAGATGTCACTGTAGTTTCACCCAAAAAAAGAATGCGTAAAAAGGAAACATTTCAAAAGACCCACTTTTACTCTCTGGCTTTTAACACCGCATGATTTGTATGGTCCTCTGTTTTGTCTGTTTCATTGATTTTATTGTTATTGTTGTACTGGTATTTAATGTTCTTTATTACATTTTTTTTGTTTTTACTATATAAATCACAATTGTTTCACTTATTCTATTTTTGATACATAAAAGGCTGGCAATCCGGGATAGTTAAATGTGTTACTTTTCTCTCTGTGCAGCACTTTGGAAACTGGATTGATTTCCTTTTTTTGTTTTGAGCCGTAAACAAAAAAACATCAAGAAAATTGCAAGGGGCAGGGGTAATCTGGAAGTTAAATGAAAGATGAATCTAAATATTTTACAGCCACTCTTTTTGCATGCTTAACTATAATGATACATATCACAATAATGAAATTCTTGGGTCATTGTTCAATAATCAACTGATAAAACAATACATTTGCAGGTTAAAAGTTTATTTTCTGTATATTTTTGGTATTTTCTTTGTAATCCAATCACATTTTAGCAAAGATGGTTGAATAAGCCGCTCTAATGGAAATAGAAAACATGGCACTAGGATGATTATTATGCTTTTGTTATTGTTGCATTAAATAAACAATTTATGATCAAAATGTGATATTGGGACGGGGGTAATGACACAGTACATTCAGTATCAGTGCATTCTTTGTGTGTTGAGTCAGCCGCATACGGTCCTTAGTGTAAGTCCTGGTCTTTCCTGCACTTGTGCCTGAGCCCGCGCCTTTCCCATAGACCGACAGACGCACTGTGGCCTTATCACCGCTGTGTGCTTTGGCAGATCAGAGGGAAGTGACTGGGGAGATGGCGAGTCACACAACAGCACAAACAAGCAGCTCATGCTTTTGTGATTTGACACTTGCTGTGATACTGATGCAGACAGAGAGACAGAGTTAGAGACAGGAAATCCACCCACTGAACGCGGTCTGCGGAATACTATCGATATGGGTTTTTGATACCGAGGAAACGGCCTGCACCTTTGCACAAAATGGTGTAATGCATTAGTGCTGCAGGGTTTTATAGAAATATCAAAATGACAAGTTTTTATTTCTCTTGTAATACCACAGCGCTTAAAACAAAGTTAGATCAGCCTCTGCATTAGTAGATAAAACAGTAAAAAGGGAAACACAAGCTTATTTAACCTCTTACTAGCATAGTTTTGACATTAGCAGTGATACCTGTATTTCTAAGCCTTTTCAATATTTGCAGCAAAACATCAATTTCCATTTAAATCAGCCTCAAACGAAAATATTTAGAGGCAGAATGCTTTTTTTGACTCAATATAGACCACTACGTCGACTAAATAAAAAACTACTAGTAAGTAAGTAATCTTTATAGCGCCTTCCTCAGACCAGAGTCACAAAGTACTTGTTATTTTTGGCCATTTGCCTCTCACTCCACAGACAGAAGGGAGTGAGGTCGCCAGTACAGGAGGCACATGCCAGATCTATCAGGGGTAGGGGAAACCGGAGCACCTGGAGGACACCTACGCAGACATGGGGAGAACATGCAAACTCCACTCAGAAAAGTCCTGTTCTGACCGGGATTCGAACCCAGGACCTGCTATCCACTCAGCCCACTGCTACTGAATATGACTAAATAAAGAGTACAACTACTTCTAAACAAAGATTTCAATATGATGAAAAATTTAACAAGATGTTCACTCGTCAATATGGGCCTCCTCTACGCGACAGTTTTTAATATTGGTTCAAAGCTTTGTCTGCAGCCTCTTAATAACACATTTAAAAACATACCACACACACCTTCACACTGCAGCCTGCAGGAGTGGGACTCACCTCCCAAACAGAGGAACTCCCATTGGAAAAACCTGACCTGTGCCAACACCGCTGCTGTTTTCAACTCCATTTGGCTCCGGGCGCAACATGCATTTGCACGTTCAGGCTATTTTTAGCTCTGCCACATCAGGACATTAAGGAAGTGAGGGACATGCAACAGTTAAAGCTGGGGCACCTAACTTTACAACCACAAACAAATGCAGTCAAAATGTGGTTCTGTCACTATATTTCAAATGCATGTATTTTTGTCGTTCGATCGGTTTTTTTAAGTGGCAAAAAGAGTACCAGTCCTCACTCAGCCAATCAGCTCTCTATGCAAAAGATAAAACATTTTCCAAGACGACAAAGAGAGCAAGTTGTGCTGATTTGTTCTGATTTGTTCACAAAAAATTATTTAAACCAACAAAATGCATGCATGAATAAAAAGTCAGGCATTCCAGCTTTTAATGATCAAACAGCAAAGTTGCTCTGTGCATCTATACTATGTCCATAAGCAGTAAAGAAGAATTTATAAAGAACCAATAAAACTTCTACCATTGCTACTTCTATCAATAAAATAACAATACCCAGTTTAGATGTTGGCTGACGGGGAAACCCCAAACGTTCCAATACATCCAAAAAAGAACATAAAAAACCAAAACACCGACGTCAATGAAGTGCCATTTCCCCCCCGCCCACGTTTGAACTGAGGTGTCATTGTGCCGCTCTTTATCAGCAAATACTTTTTTTTCCATAAAACAGGTTGAGGAAGGTAAGAGACTGGCTCTACTGTGTTCTATTTGAGTATGAGTGAATCTCAGTGTGAAACAGGATGCGGCGAATGGTTGCACCACAAAAAAACACCAAACATACTATTTATAGACTTTAATAAGGCTGTGTGTAACTGTTTAACGTATCACTGTAAAAACAGACTTTAAGACTTTAAAAACAGGTCGGCCAGTGTCCATGTGTTTGGGAGACCAGCACGGGAAAACTCATGAGTAAAAAAAGTGATAAAGTTGTACATTTCACTTTTGATTATTATGAATGACTATATTATCATGATCTTGGGCATCACTGGGTTTTCAAGAAAGTTTTAACATTTCCAAGACCATTATTGCAAAGTTATGATGATTAACTGTGATATATGGGATTGGATATGAATGACCTAACTGGGGTACCTTACTTTTGTTGTGATAATACATGTTTATTCCAGAGAAAAAAGTCAGTAAAATGGTGTCTACATGACATTAAAAAGCAGGTGTTATTTTTCGCATTCGTGTAGACAGAGCCGTCACTATTCCACTTTTCTATCTTTTCTATATGTGTTTTTGACTTTTGGTTAATTGCTTAGACTGCTGCCCCCGCGACCCGGCAACGGATGAAGCAGAAGAAAATGGATGGATGGATGGACTTTTGCTTAGCTGTGGGTTGATAGTTGATGGTACTTCAGCTTAAGGGGTTTCTTTCCAAACAAGAATTTCTGCAGTGGAGTGGATTACCGCAGCCTGAATTTATGCAAATATATCTGTGTTTTTAAATCTGACCACACAACTTTCCGACCCTGTGCAACCCTGGCATAAATCACACGAACCGAAAAATATTGGCAGCAACAATTTTCATAATCAAATCTGGGGGCGATAGTAGCTCAGTTGGTAGAGCGTTGGCCTTTAGGCCAGAAGGTCGTGGGTTCATTTCCCACCTCTGCACCTTCTCCATCAACTCCCACTGCTGACTGCTGTCGTTGTGTCCTTGGGCAAGACACTTAACCCCACTTTGCCCAAAGCCCCCACTGAAAGATCAAGGCTATGCTCACACTCAGAGAGCAGCCGTCCTCCTGTGGACTCACCACCTGCAGAAGGTCAGTGAGGGGCTGGTGCTATGAGACTTGGGTGGCATCTCTGACTGCCACCCCCCTGACCCAGAAATGGATTAAAGGGTAGAAAATGGATGGATGGATGGAAATCTGCAAAGCATTCCATATGAACATATATTTCAACACTTGTTTTCTCTCTGCAGGTTGGAAACTGCACCCTTTTAGCTGCTCACCGGGCTTAATAATGGAAATCTGCAACAGGGAGGATCTCTATTCATGAATAAATAAAAACAGTGGAAAATACTCCCCTTATATTCCCCAGTGATTAAAAAAAAACCTCTTACTTAAACATGTGTCTTCCTTTATTAGTCACAACGCCACCGCAATTTGTACAGCCGCATTCAGACCTGTCAGGGCCTATTCTTAGGGCAGGGCAGCTGACACACAACACACGCAGGTGACACACAACTACTATAATAACTACTATAATAACGTCCAAGCTTGATTGAAAGATTGTTTTATTCACAATAGACATGAATTACAGTTTCTTAACTGCATGTCATGTTTTGGAACAGTTTTTAAATGTCTTTTTTTGTTATATTATTTAAATTTATAACCCTAACCCTATGTTTTAAGAAAGAGCAGGCAACATAAGATTTCTTTTCTTCTTTTCATTTGTGTGACAAGAATATTTGAGGTATTGTCATGTCCACAATGGAAATAAAAAAATACATAAATAAATAAATAGAAGTTACAGGTCAGGTCCCTACAGATCTGAATATAAATGTTAGTATTTCAGTGTGTCAATAAAGAATATATGAATGTATGTTGTCTATCTGAGTCATAATAGCCAGTCTTTGTCAGAGGTTTAGCTAGAGGCACCACGGCTGAAAAGATTTTAAAATATACAGACATATAGACATGATATTGGATATAGTAAAGAGCCAATAATATATCTTTTCGGTAGTTGGTTGCTATGACTTCAGCTGGCCTCTTGGGTATGAAAGTGCAGAAGCTGTGCATAAACATGAGCGTCTCTTGGTTAGAATGCTTCGCGGCTTCGGTTTTGTGAACAGTGAAAGCCTGTGGTCTGGCGTCTGGAGGCCCGCTGGCGAAACCCAATCTCCATCAACCCAAACCCGCCCTGACCGCCAGTGACCCG